TATACAATGGCCCATTCAATGATGCTCTTCTGTGGTGATTGGGCATTTGGGTCGTTTCAAGCAATTCACATTTACACTCAGAGCCATTGTGGTGCACAGGACCTTGCAGGCCAACTAGAGCAAGAAAGCAGAGCTCCAACTTCTTGTGTTTTCATAAACCATTGGATGAAATGAATATGACTATTCACCCAGGGGAAAAGGCCTGAAAATTAGATTTTCAAAATAACTCCGGCTTCTTTCAAACCATGGGCTGATTGTCCCACTCGACTGTACTTTTCAGAATGATGCTAGACAGGAAATGGGAGGTGTCTGCAGCCTGCTCAGGACAGGGCTCCCAGTCCTCCAAAGAGCACTGCTATAAGATTGAGGAGATGACAAATGCTGTTTCTTTTCAGTGCACGAATATTCTAAATTTTCATGATTCCAAGGCAGTATTTCTTCTACAAATGTACTATTCTCTCTGAAGACTCAGATTATTTTTTATTTGAATTTTAGAGTAATCTGACTAATAAGAAAAAAAATCTCTTCATGCAGGAAGGGAAACTAAGGCTCGAACTTTCCTCCACTCACTGTATTTATAGAGGAAACCATTTGAGGAATAAAATCTAGGTCTAGTCACTTCTATGATGCATCTTCCTATATTTGTATATGTTATATATACATATACTTGAGATGAGATAGAAATATATGCTCAACACTATTGACAATACTCTGACATGTACTACAGAGATATAAAACCTTGGCACTATGATAATCTAGGACCAAAATGCTTGACTTGGATAATGAAGGAATGCAATGTGATCTAATTACATTGGTGCATTCCAAAGCTACAGTTCTTCAAATTCTTAAGCTTTAAGTCAGAGAAGTGTGTTTAGCAATTAGGAAAGCTTGGTGAAGTATGGCAGGGAGAGGTGGAAGGAGGGATGGAGGAAGAGTGAGCAAGAGCGCACTTGAGTAGGCAAAAGCACAGGAGAGAGCTACCAACTATCAACGTGCTTTTTGAGACAGACTCTAGTTCCTTCCCTTGATAAATACAGTGATCTAAAATCTGCATTATTCAAAGATGGAGTGAGTAATACTAGGGCACTGTCAGGGACCATTAGAAAGGGAAAACTTCTTGGAGGGATTTATGAGTCTTTATTTTTAAACTTGTGCACCTGATCTCTTCTCTTTGAGAAAAACACTTCCAGGACTACATTTGACTGCTCTGCTGCATGCTGCTTTGTTATGTGTTCTGGTCAGTGCTGCTAAGAAATCCTTCTGTCTCTGGTATAAGAGGCAATGGGATATAGAATCATCAATGGTAGACTGGGAGAATAAATGCAAGGTTATTTGTTGCCTTCTGTCTATGGAAACAAATGCTGAATTTTACCCAATAATATGTTCCTTGTGTAGCTGAATCTGACTTCACCGGTGGATGTAACCAGAGACCTTTAACCCCCAATTTACTGTAAGCAGTTTTGGACAACAAAGAGCACTCCGGGATTGACAAGGGGTTCTTCTGGAATGAATGTAACCCAAAACCCATCACAGAATTTTATTAGAACCAGAGAAAGCAACAAAACTATTGGTTATAACTCCAAACAAGTTAAAGAAAACCCATATTCTTTGGGGATGGATATACAGTTGCTGTGGGAAACAGACCACATTGAGTTATTAATTTACTTATTTTTACATTTTTATTCTCTGAGAGGGGAAGGAACAACTGAATATTATCCACTCCCTCCCCCAACATTTCAGGCAAATGAGTTAACATTTCTCCAAGTACAGAGCACTTGTTTCTTTAAACCCAACAAACAACATTCTAACTTTGTAGAATGCAGTATTTCTTTAACTTATTTTCTTCCTGGCATTATCCATGTGCTTTGTTCTTTTTAAAGGGTTAAGATAGTGTCTTATGAATGAATGAAAAAGTTATACACTGAGAGTCATAATCCTAGCTGTTTTCAATTTGGGGGAATGGATGTAGCCTCAAGGGAAGTTCATAGCTTCTTCAAGACTCAGGACTCAGTGTGAGTCTTGGGGTAGTGATTATATTGTAAGGAGCAGTCAAAGGAGTTGTGGCTTGTCCTGTTCATTTCACAGATATGAAAAAAATGTTATTGAGAGACATTTTACACTGTACACATTGAGGGCTTGGTGGGGCTAGCCTCATCTAGAGGCAACTTGACAGGCTTGGTGTGCTCCACAGTGCTTCCTTCTCTAAGAATGCCTTCTTCAGAACACAACACATTTAGTATCTTCTTCCATTCCTCACTTTCCAGTTATGGACTTCATTAAGTTTTGAAAGTTTCTTGCCTTATTACTCAACTTTGTAGCTGAAGGTTTTCCTGTGTTTGCCCAGCACCAAGGACCCCACAGCCACTTATAAAATAATCACTAAGAAACTTATATTAATTAAAACTTCTTGGCCATTAGCTCAGGCTAACTATTGACTAGCTCTTACACTTAAATTAACCCATAATTCTTATTTATGTTTAACCACATGGCTTGGTACCTTTATTCAGTTCTGCCTTTACATCTTGTTTCCTCTGTGTCTTGCTGGTGACTCCTGACTCCACCTTCCTGTTCCCAGAATTCTCTTCTCTGCTTGTCCTACCCTGGCTACTGGCCAATCAGCATTTTATTTTTTTAACCAATTAGAGCAACATATTCACAGCATACAAAAGTGATATCCACAGCAGAACTCCAATTGACTTATCATAAAAATCTCCTTATACCTTTTTTGGTATGCTACCTCATATATGTTCCCATGGGAGGGAGGAATGTTTTGATGTTCAGAATGTATAGGAACTATCATAACATAGTTTCCGGAAGCATGTTGATTTCTAACCCACCACAAATATAGCAGTGGAGGTTTATTTTAATTCTATTATGGAAACATGCATTATGTAATCATAAGGCTTTACTTTGTATATTTGTTTGGTCAGTTAGAATTATAACTCTATGGGCTTGGTGCTGAATTTCATAAATTTGTAAGTAAATTTAATAAAGATATGTGGACTTACTGAAGGTTCCTCCTCTTCCTCCTTCTCTCCCCCATTCTTCTATTCCAAATCCAGCCACATAGCACTCTCATGGGATACATAACACACAGAGCCACCCAAGCCCATTCTCTTACATACTTGGTAAGTTCCTCCCTGACACAAGTCAATGAAGACAGCAGAGGGTCATATGCATGTGGGGCTTCTGGCAAACACGATTATAGAAATAGTGACAAGTGGATTGAATGCAGTGAGAAGTAAGTAGAGTGCTATGTGCTTATCTCTCACCAGTTAGGCACAGATTGCTAATGTGTTTATGAATATTATATAATTTAATTGAAATACAAAAGATGGCCAGGCATTAATTAGGTAATCTAGGATGGGGAAAAAGCTCAAATGGAAAATTTACTCAAACTCGAAGATGGAATACTTGATTGCATCTTCATGAGATGAATAGAAGCCCAGTGTGGCTAGAGATGAAGTCATAGGGCTGAGTTTGAGGGAATGCTGAAGGGATGGGTCGGGCATATGGTCATGTCAAAGAGCAATGGGAAGCATTAATGCACTAAAGCTTTGAATTATCAAGACGAGACTGAACTTTAAAAAAATCCCATATAGTTCTGTGAATCTCATAAGCACGTGCACAGACTTGAAAAGGTAACTGTAGTGGAGCCAGATGTGCTGGTGGTCCTGACTAGGATAACAAGGTGCAACAAAAGAAGTTGGAGACAAGTGGGTGGATCTGAGAAAAGTTCAGTGAATACAATTAATCACTCATCAATGGCTTGTTCTGTGTGGGAAAATGACAAAAACATGATTGAAGATTAGTTTGGGGGTTTGAATTTTTAACAAGTATTGGATGATAGAATCATACATCAGTTTGGGAAGGAACAGATTTGGGGTATGGTAGTCATAACTACCTGACATTTATTGGGTATTTACTATCTACTAGTGACTTTTCTGTTTTACAGACATCTACATATTTAATTTACTAGTAAGCGTTAGAGTTTAGGATAGCTCATGTAATCTTCCCATAGACACATAGCTTGTCCCTAGAAGGACTAAAATGGCAATAGAGATGTTCTGATTCCAGAAGCTCCTAGTTTGCCTTTTTCCCCCATACCTGAGGACTTATTTATAAAGAAGGAATAAAACAGAAAACATATAGTTTTAGAGTTCAGAAGCATAATATGAACAAGAGACATAAATTGGGAAGTCATCATATTAGTCAACCTAGGTTGTGTAATTTCAGTAGTTTCACAGAATAAATGCATTTTTTTTTTTTGTTTTGCTCACACCCTTCGTGTATTGATTCAGGAATTTTGATTCTTCTAGCCAATGTCTCTACTACTTCTTGGTAACTTCTTGTCATCCTTTATTCCTTTCTTTGTCTTCAGGTAGCTGATAGACTGAAATAAAGAGAGTAGAGGATTTTAATGTCAGGGCTAAAGGGGATAAGCATTATCTCCTCCTAAATTACAATGGCCAGTGCAATTCATGTGGTCCTAACTGGCCACCCACATTTAGGAATAGGGGTTGAAGGAAAATAAAGAGATCTCCCCAAAACATATGTAATGATTCAAGCTACAGAGTGAATGAATACAGAATTAGAAATGTGGCTGAGGTCAGAGAATTGACAAGATCTTTATGGTAATGATGATGATTAATAATAGCTAAAACATTTAGAGCACTTAGAGTATTCCAGGCTTATATGCATATATTAATTCCTGCAATCCTTATAAAAGCCCTTTGATGTAATGGTACTATTATATCTTTTAATATAGACCAAGGAGTAAAGAGCAAGTAAATAACTCTCTCGAGGTCACACAGCTACTAAATGGCATAACAAGAATTTGAATGTAGGGCGTCTGCTTCCAGAGTCTGCGAGTTTAACTGATGTCATATGCTACATAATTATTAACTTCAAATACTTGAAAAATGTCACATTAATATGTAAGTATCTTTGCTATGAGTTCCCGAGGGATAGGATTATAACTAACAAATGGAATGTAAATGATGGCAGTGCTCAGCCCAGAAGAAGGAAGTGCCTTCTAAAAGAAGCTGTCTAACGGAAGCAAACTGCAGCCTGAGATAGTATGATCTTCATCAGTGGAGGTACCCAAGCATAAGAAGAGAAAACCCCTGATAAGGATGCTACAATGGAGACCCAAGCATCCAATGAGTGCTTGAAGGAGATAACAGCTATTCTTCTTGAATATTCAAGAGTCAGAAAGTTTCAAAAATACATGTTTGCTGAAACTTCCTACTGAATGTAAAGCTTTCTCAATTAATGACTTAAGGTAAGTTCTAGAGCCTGTATCTTCCAAGAACTGGGCCTGAAGCTAGAAGAAGGAAGGTGAGTGGTGGCACAAAAGAACCATTACTAGCCCTTGAAGCTCTTGTGGTTTATTTAGAAAGCCAAGGCCCATGGTTGTGAATTAACAGAGATCTGCCTGTAGAATTCTAACCTGGAGATGACCAAATGATTTGTACATGGCAGAGGTCTCTATTTTGGCTCAGATACACTGGGACTCTATTGCAGAAGGCTAGGTCTTTACATTTTCAAGGTGGTTCCCCAAGTTTATCACTTTTCTGAATAAATGGGGGTGCTCCATAAGCCAACTGGACTTTCTCATTCAGTGCATTGAGGCTTCCAGTTTGCATTCCTCACTGCTGCTGCTGCTTAGGTGACTATTCCCTGGGAACCACTGCTTTAACACAGGCTTCTGGTTCAACATCATAAGCCTTTGTTTATGTGTCTAGCTTCTCCTTGCTTATCTTTGTATTACTCTGATCTAAGCCACCGTGTGTTCCTTGAGAAAGTTTTATGGAGGAAACGCATTGAAAGAAATAGAGGTTTTCTAGAAGTTCAAAGGGGAACAGAGACCATGGGAATCTCTCAGAAGAGGAATCCCGTGTTGTCACCTTTCACACGGCTGGAAGCATGATTCATACAAAGATATGTCTATCTTTCTGAAAAGCGACCACAGACATGACAGTTTTGTGAGACCATCAGGATGGTCTTCTTGTCCCCTCTTCTTCATAATTTTCCTTTCTCTTTAGATGGTTACTGCTGCTCCATGGAAGGAAAATAGTCTTTCTTGTGTACGGAATGCAAATTGCCTCTTCTCGGAGTCTGCTCCCTTCGGACTGTCTTTGGATGAACTTTGCAGTCTTCACTGAAGGGGGAACCCTTCCCCACTGTTCTCTGGGAGAGCCGCCCCTTTGAAGTCACAGCTGGCTTGACTAAACTCATTTCCTCCCTCCACAATGTGCCTCTGATGCAGTGTTGGCTGAGGCTCCCCCTCGCCGGCTCCTGCCATTGAACCAGACCCAAGTGCAATGTTTAATGTGAGTGTTTGGCTTGGCTTACATTTGGCCAAATCATCTGTACTTCGTTTCATTTGAAAGCACTACTTTTTTTTCTCCCCTTTTCTCTCTCAAAAAGTTCATTCCAGATGTTTTTGATTTGTCTTTCTGTGGTCCACTCCACCCAGTTCCTAAATCAGTAAATCATTTTCATGCTTCTTCTAAAATCAAGCAGAGAAGTGCTCAATTAGGGAGAGCAACTGATTATAGGTTTCTTAGGACTCACACTTCAGGCTCCTTTCTTCAGGAACTACCTTTCCAAGGTGGAAGAAAATGTGATTGAGAACATGCAGATTCCAATTTCTTAGCATTCAGAATGGGAAAGTAGATAGGATAGTGACATGTGCATATGTACATCCAAACTCATTTACTCTTTCAGGGCTTGATGGTGCTGTTGCTGTTTGAATGCTTTCTGTGACTCAAGTGCACATGGAGACACCCATTCTATGAACTTGTACGTATCCTTAAATAATAGAAATATTAACATATAATGCTCAAGGTCTTTCATTCTCTACTGTCCTCATGTACCCTTCTCAGCACTTTGATCATGAGGATGGAGGCAAGGATAAACAGAGCCAAGATGTGGAAAATGTTTGCTTTACTGTCATCATGAGGAGTAAAGGCCTTAGGGGAAAGTCCTAGATCTGATAAACTAGGGAACTCAGAAGGGGAAAATCAGCACATACTCTGAGTTTCTCTGCATTTAAGAATTTGCAAAGAGAGCCTTAGATGCAACTAGACACTGAGGTAAGAAGAAAAATGGAGAAAAAAGTTTTAAGGTGCTGGAGAGATGGCTCAGGAGTTTAGAGCACTAGCTGCTCTTGCAGAGGACCCAGGTTCAATCCCCAGCACTCACATGCTGGCTCACAACTCTCTGTGTGGAGAATTCTGTGGGTATGACTCTTGTTGACCTCTATGGGCACCAAGCATGCATGTGATACTTATACATACATTGAATACAAACAGAACACTCATATACAAAACTAAATAATAATTTAAATAAGTAAATAAAATGAAGAAACAAATTCTTTGAAATAATTTTAAGAAATTTTGCTGTGTTGTGAATGTATTTTTTCTCTGACAAATTTGACCTACATTCCTTCTCAAGAATTTCTTCGAGATGACATGTGTTCTCTTCTGAACTTGATGTTAAAATGAGACTTAATGTTCAGAGTACACCAATAAAACTTTATGCTACTTACTTGATTTTATCCTGTTATTCATTTATTATATGATACCAGATTATAAAAGTATGCAAATAGTGTTTGGGGGCATTCAGATGCTTATTTTTTTTAATTTGGAAAAGAGAGTTCTAGTTAGGTTAGTAACTTAAACTTCTGTGTACCATCCCTAACAATGAGCACAGTACATATTCAATTTTTTAGGATCTTGATTAGATACTGACAATCATTTAAAGTACATATAGTGGTAACATTTGAAATTGATGTAGCAAAGGAAGATGACTCATGAAATGCAATAAAACATAGATTCATTTTGGTCATCAGATCTGATGTTACTATTTGATTTCTGAGATCAGTTGCCCAGGCCACTGGTGGAAAATGTTGGCAGGTTGAACTGTATTTTTGACATGATTGGCTATAAGCAAACATCTGATCATTTTATGTTTCAGAAATTGATAACTCAGGAATATCCAGTCAGTATACGATTCGACATGTCTGAATATTAATGTTTTAGTCTTCGTTCAGTGGTAAGTCCTCTATTCCTATGCCTCTCATTAGGTTGGGTAATTTAGATGCCTAGATTGTGCTTAGGAGATTGCAGTCCAATTAACCTACACCCCCATCCCTCTCTTTCTTTCATCTGTACTATTTTATTTGCTGACCTATGGTCGTAAGCTTTTATGATCAAATTCAGAAGTGAGATCACTGGTGTTTGGTTTAATGTTGGCTTCTTTCTTGAACTTGGTTAATGGAGTCAGCTAACTCTTTTTCTGATGGATGTTTCCTTGAAGCTTTGAAGCTTCCCTGGATGGATCTCTCTAATCATGACTCCATGGGCAGGTCTACATTTTCACCTACTATGGCCCTGACCAACACTCCACTCATTTCTGGAAGTTTCATGAAACATATAGTATATGGATCCTTTGGCTCTCTAGTAGAAGCTCCCTTTGTCAGGACCCCTAACTGAATATCCATTCTCCCCAATGAAGCTTTGTAGAAGAAGCCTGCAGGTCACAGAAAAGGGAGTTTAGAGAGTTCCCTACAAGACTCTCCAGTACATCTGCCTCCCATGTTTATGTCCTGCTGTTTGTTTATCTATCTATTTATTTACCAATTAATTAATTAATTAATTAATCTAACTGACTGGATCTAAATAATTCTGCCTGTATGTCATGGTCATTGACTGAAGAATAGACAATTTACAAGTGGCCACAGCCATAACAAAAGAGAGTCTCCTTACCCCACAAAGCCATCAGCTTTCAGTAGCTCCTCCCCTCATGTAGCTGGGTCCTTAACTTTTTAAAATAGGTTCTTCAGTTTTACTTCTTCAGTTTACAGGTTCACAGAACTTTTGGAGATACGCAAGCAAAGCTGACTTTTTTAAGATTCAGCAATTTCTAAGTCTCACACAAGACAGTCATCCGTGAAAGTGCAAATGAGGGGTGACCACTGCTTATGGATGGACGCCTTAGGGAAGTTTTCAGAGGGAGAGAGGAACTTAGCTGAGCTTTAGAAAATGATTAAGCTTTTATGGAACCGGAAGGAAAGGATGACCGATTATCTCAGGTAGAGCAAGGAAGAATTATTGATCACCTCCTCTTGTTTTTGATCTTGGTAAATGCTATAAAAAGGATGAAAAAAATCAACTTTGGAAATATTTAGCAATAATTAAAATGAATTTGCCTATGATGCAGTAATTCCTCTTTAAGATAAATGCCCTAGGAAAATTTCACATATCCACATACAGAAACATCAGCACATTTCTAACAGTACAGTCTGCAGTAATGAAACACAGGAAACTATCTAAGCACTCATCATCTGATATATGCAATATGTTGACCCTCAGGATAATACAATCTGCTACAATGAGATGAATAACCCAGTAACACATCTTCTGTTGGTGTGAGGAAACTTGTTGGATACTTGAAATATTTGTGTGGTATGCAGATAGAGAAATCTTTCAAAAATATTGAACTTAATTGCTTGTGAGAGTACCTGGGACATGTGACTTAGCCCCAAACCAAATGGGCCTTCTCTTGAATTAACTTCACCATCCATGACAGATATTTTTTGTGAAAAAGGACCTGAGAAAAGAGCATGAAACATGTCTCAGGTTAGTCATCAAACTGAGACTCACTTATTCTCCACTCTACTCATCAAATACACTTTTTCGTATGATGAAAAAGAGCCTTTCCCCCAATATTTCTGAGAGAACAGATGTTTCTGTTATATGTGGTCCATCTTTTTCTTCCCTAGGCTAATATCCCAAGCCCCCAACTTCTGCTTATGCTATTTAAGTTTCTTAAAAGGTTTGTGAATATCATTGTGATGCATTCACATCACCATGTTTAATCTGTCCTGTAAACGGATAACTGTGATCAGACTTCAGAATAGTGTATGGTACTCACTTAGAAAGAGAAGGAAGCAAGTAGGTTTTGAGTGTCCATCATGAGTTGCCATGTGCAAAGGCAAGAACTAATGAGGCTCTTCTCCAGCTGGTGCCCTGAAAATGCAGTCCCAATAACAAACAGAATTGTGAGACAGAGGAGCCCTATCAAACAACCTGGGTTAGTAGCCTAGCACAATGTACCAGGAAAATACTAGAAAGCTAATAAAATTAGCAATTTTTAGTTAATCCAGGAATTGCTTCTATGTTAGACTTTTAATAACAGCATGTTTTCTCTTAATTTGTTACTTGTAGGACACTTGGAGAGGTTCTGTGTGAAAAGGTGTTTAGAGTAGCTGGCTGACAGAGTCTGGGGGCACAAAGGAGTACTAGCTCCAAGGTCAGGAGCAGACAGCAATGAAGATGTGGGAACAAGGAGCTGGGGATATAGATCAGCAGCAGGATGCATACCTTAGAAGTCATACACTCTAGGTTTCATCCCCAGCATATAAATCAAAGAAAAGGCCATTGGATGAATGGAGATGAATTACCACATTTATCTGGTTGCACCTTGAACAGGTAGTCAAAGACAGCAAGTGGGGTTGTAGTCAGGGATCCTACTGAGCTCTCCATCACCAACATTCTCTGGAGGACCTACAAATGAAGACAGTAGTGGTCAGAAATCATCAGTTGCAGTATCTCAGTGTTAGAGTACATTAAAACATTTTTTCTCATTCAGATAAAACAACAACAACAACAAAAAGGAAATTATGCTTTTTATTGGTGTAAAAACTTACTATGATTTATCTAAGCATGCTGTGATGCCTTTACAGATATTTCAGTCTACAAATAAAATTCAGTAGATCCAGCCGGATCAAACAGATAGGGCCCATGGCCAAGGCTGGTAGCTAGATGATAAAGGCTTTGACTGGGATTACCAACTAAATATTTTTGAGATTTTAGAGAGGGTTGCATAGTGACTGTGAGTTTTACTTTAAAATTCTACGAACCTTGTGTATAGTTTTATACCTACCCATCCCCCCTACACCTATATATACTCATTTCTAAATGAACATTACCTTTTCTTTTTAAGGGTTGTTCAAAGACTTCAAAGCTGAGTGCTCAAGGCTCAGCAGAATTTCCCAGCCATGTAGCACTGAGAGTTCCAGTCACAAGTACTGAAAGAGGAATGTCTTTTTAGCATTTCTCTGTTCCCATTGCAGCCTTGGAGAGGAACCCAGGGGAAGTCATTACAATATTTCAGAACTGCCTACTAAGTCTTACTTTTATCCTAGTGGTGGGTAGGCTTGGATTATTCTGCTGAACACATCTGCCCTGAATTTGCATGTGTAATGAAAATGATTCTTTGTTAAATGTTTTTGTTAAATTGTATTTAAATTTTTATTTTGGAATTTTCTGTTGTGGTCAGGATACACGCTTTTCTAATAGGAACTCCCTTATGAAAAAAAATATGGATAACCCATAGTGGGTGGCTGTTAAGGGAAAGAGCAGCAGACTAGAAACACCACTGTATATAATTTCAGCAATTTCCAGCTGTTGGGAGGAAAAAGACGATTGTCATTAAAACAAAATGCACACCGAGGTGTAGATAGTAACAAATCCTAACTGTGCAATCAATGGGTTTTAGATATTTACATTCCATATTATGTATTATATATAGAATATTTTCTGTATCCCAGAGGGATCCCTTCTGTCTCTTCCTAATTCCACACTTCTACTGTCTACTCCTCTAAATCAAGGAACAGAAACTTTGACTTTGCCATCACCACAGTTTGTTTTAGTTCTTGGATTTCACATAATTAAATTATACATTGTGTAGTCTTTTGTGGTTAACTTTTTTCCTTCATTCATTTGTTGTTTTCTCTGTGAGATTCAAGGTGATGCTGCTTATAGCAGACACCCCCATTTGTTGTTATATAGTGTTCCATGATGTGATTATTCTGTAATTTATCAATGCTACTAAATATTGGACACTGAATTTTTGTAGCTTTTAGCTATTTTGATTACAACTGTTTTAATCTTCTTATATGGTGAATGGAGCCCAACAAAAGAGAAAGCCTTGAGGGCTGTTTAAAATGGCTTTCAAGCTGGGCAGTGGTGGCGCACGCCTTTAATCCCAGCACCCGGGAGGCAGAGGCAGGTGGATCTCTGTGAGTTCGAGGCCAGCCTGGGCTACCAAGTGAGCTCCAGGAAAGGCGCAAAGCTACACAGAGAAACCCTGTCTCAAAAAACAAAAAAAAAAATAAAATAAAATAAAATAAAATAAAATGGCTTTCAACTTGGGCTGCATGATCCACTTTCAACAGTCTTTGAATGCTCAATGCCAGGGTGGGGGATGCTATTTCAGAGTCTTTCTTGTGTTCCTAGAGGACACTTCTAGGTCTTTCAGATTTTAGAGTGAAGTCTTACAATCCTCCATACTAAATGAACATTTGGTAAGCAGTTCTTAGTAAAATCTGAATACATGACCATATGCCATCAAGATACTTTACATTTGGAGCTATCCACCACATATTGAGTGATATCTGCCCCACCAAACTGTAAAACTTGGTACATACAGCAAGAGAAAGAAATACAATAGACATGACAGGACATAATCAAGTCTCAAAAACACAAGTAAGTTATAGGAAGAACCAGCTCTGGTGCCCATGATTTCTATGCAGATTATGCTGCCTTTTCTTTTCCTGCTTGAAACACTGGTATTTTGGGAGTTCTTTAGGATCAGTTGATAGAGAAGAGAAGAATAAGGCTTACAAGTAGTTCTCTAAGATAAGCCAGTGCCACTTGCAAGTGCCCTACTCTGGGCCATCCCTGAAAAATATGATGAGGGTAAATCATCTCAGTGGTCAGAACTTCATGGAACTACACATGATAGTTCATCCTGGTTAAAAAGATTTGCAGCCAGACATGTAATTATTTATTAAGCCAATGGTTTAGCTGGATGGTCAGGGAGTTAGGAAATAACATTATTGGCAGGTGATGATTAGGAGCTCTCAGAAAGTAGCATGGGCTTTTATTTCCCAAGGATGACCTTGTCATGGCCACTGCTGAATGCCTAGTCTCTTAGCATCAGAGACTGCTCAGTCCCTGATAAAGCAGCATTCCCTGTGGTGATCAACTAACTGACTTATGACAGGTTCATCACCTTGGACTGCTTTACCATGGAATAGGAAGTATTTTCTTCTTACTGAAATAGATGTGCACTATGGATATAGACTTTTTTTCCTTATGCACAGCATTTTTGTCCAAATTATTGTCAGTGGAATTGTGGAATGTCTTATCTGTCCACAGCATATATTTTATACCGCATCAACTCTGATCAAGAAACCCATTTCACTGTTAAATAACTGTGGCAAAGGGCTCTTGCTGACAGTGTCCATCAGCTTTACTGTGTTCCTTGATATTCTCAAGTAGCTAGCTTGATAGAGTACTGAATCACTTCATAATGGCACCAGTTATGAAGTAATATTTTGCAGTTCTAAGGGAGGATTTTCCAGAAGATTGCAAATTCTCAGATCAAAGTATTAGATGCTTTTTTTTTCTTTGCTGTTTCAAAATACCTGATAAAGAGCAACTTAAGGGAAGTAGTATACATTTGGGCTCATGGTTTAGGATGGTATAATCCATCATGGCAAGGAAAGCAAGATGTATCTCATGGCAGCAGAAGCTTGCAACTGGGACTCCTTCCATCTCAGAAGATCAGAAAGCTGACATCAGGGTTGGCATTCCTTTTTCTGTTTTCATTTAGTCTGTGACTGAGGACCATTGAAGAATACCACTCACAACAGAATGGACCTTCCTTCCTCAGTTACATCTTTCTGGAACGATTCCCCGGGCATATAAAGATGTGTATCCCCAGTGATTCCAAATGCATACAAGGTGCCAAGGAAGATTAGTCACCACAGGTCCACTTTTGTCAACTTGACATCCTAAGATATCACTTTAAAATCACAACACCCTACTGGTGGTCCTCAAAGCCTTATTGTGATGTTAATACAGACTGTGTGCCATCAGTTTGTAAGAGTCAAAAAGCTGTCAGTACAATTCAAAAGCCCAAAGTCTCCTAAGACTCAAGACAAACTCTTAGCCATATTCCACTAATAAAACTACATATTTCCAATATACAGAGTAGACATCCCCATTCCAAAATTGAGGAAGTTCATTCCCGTTCCAAAAGAGAAGAAGAAGAGCAAGAGTGAGGAATGATGGGGGTCAAAGCGAGACTGGAACCAAGCACTGCAAACACTAAACTTGCATGTCCATGATGAGTACATAAGATTTGAAATGACATCAGCTGGGCTTTAATAGCCTGGATCACACCACTCCTTTGGTTTTTCTGATTTTAGAACACATAGCTTTTCTTAGATTAGCTTTCTTCAGTGACTCCAAATTTTTTCAGAGAATGTCTCACAGTCTTGGGATCACAAGTTATCCTGAGGTCTCCATTGCAGCTTAGACTTCACAACTTCATATAATGCCCTCTAAGAGGTCTCTTTCAAGAAATCTAACCCTGCCACATATTGGGCGGCCTCAGCATCTTTTTGAAACTTTGATGCAAGCTTCAACTCTTGGAGTTTTATGCCTTGAAACAAACATTGTGTGGGTGTTACTGCTGTGAGCTCCAGCCCCTTCTACCATAGCTTCGAGGATTTTTGCATCTCATTGGCCAAACCTATGAAAAATTTCCTTAAGCAGTTTAAAAAAAGTTATTTATTTATTTTGTTTTGAAATTATAACATTTCTCCATTCCCTTTCCTCTCTACAAACTCACTCTTGCTCTTTCAAAATCATGGCCTTTTAAAAACAATTAATTTTTGGTGTGTGTGTGTGTGTGTGTGTATGTGTATACCTAAATACATGAACACAACTTGCTCAGTCTGTGTATTGTTACTTGTGTGTAAGTTTTCAGGACTGACCATATGATTTTGGATAACCAGTTTTTGTACTCTTCCCTGGAGAAGACAGTTTTCTCCACATCTCAGCCTTCCATACTTGCCTGATGTTCTTTGTGTAGGGTTGAGGCCTTCATGTCTTCCCCCACCTACTTTAATATGTCTGTTTTTCTTGTGCTTGTGCAGGTATAGCTCCATCAACCCTGTTGGTGAGACTTTGTGAGCATAGCTTCTGATATTACTAGGAGACACAATCTCATAGCATACTCTCTGATCTTCTGGCTCTTACAATGTTTCTGCTTTCTGTTCCATAATGTTCCTCAAACTTTAGGTACAGGAATTGTTTTGCAGATGTATCCCATGGTAGCTGTTTTTGAGCAGAGAACCACTTCACTGGTGTACTGGATTCAGACTCTCTCCTTTCAAATGCATTTTCACTGTCACCAACCAGAGCCTTTGCTTGGTGAGATCTTGTCCACAGGCACATTTCCTAAGGTTGCAGTGCAAAATGCAAGTTTTCTCCTTAACTGGATTTGCCTTCTAAGTCTCAGTACAGGCATTGAGCAATAGCCACACTATAGGCTAAGCATTATGTGGTCTTCAAAATCCCTCTGCCAAATAACTTGGTCCCCTACTTTTAAACTCAGTTTTCCAGGACTCAGGAATAATATAACATGAGTGTCTTATAACTGAAGTCCTGATAGTCTTTATTTTTCTGTGAAATCTTACAGGCCAGGCTTCCACTGTCTGAATTTTTCTCAGCATTCGGTTTTTTACCAACTTTCACCTAAATGGCCAATTAAACTCTGCTTCTAGCATTCAAGGGTGATATGTTCTACAGGCCCAAACAACTCAAGATTCTCTCCACAAACCAGCCCCAAAGGCCTGCAAAGCACATGATATCAGATAGTCAAAGCAATTGTTCCACTTCTTGGTGCTGAGTTTCCATACTAGTTACTCTTCTCATTGATGTGACAAAATGACTGTCAGAAAACAACTCATGGGAACGATAATCTATTTTAGGTCATGGTTTAAGAGGGTGGAGTCCATCCCAACAAAGACATGACAGAAGGGTTGACAGAATTCATGGCAGTGGGAGCAGACAGCTGGGTGTTCATGCATCTTGAAAGGCCAGGAATCTTTCCTGAGGATCATGGCGTGATCTTCTTTTCATTCATTACAGGGGCCCAGCCTGTAACATGGTTATATCTGCATTCAGGCTGGATCTTCCCTTCTCAGGTAGACCATCTGCTCTAACATATCAAAAGTAGTGAGTCCAAATCCACCCAAGATGAAGATTAAACATTCCAATAAACTTTCAACAAAGGTGCTATTCATCCCACAGCCAGGACACAATGGCTCAAAAAACAAGGTTGGATATAGAGAATGGAGTTGACCCTGCTCCTCTTGGTGACCCAATAGAAAAGTGTTTGCTTTATGTTTCTGTGCCCTCATCCTCTGCTGGTGTTGGAGAAGCTACCGTGGGCTCTTTGTGCCTTTTTTTTTAATCAGTGAAGAGAAGTTGCTCAAATTGCTGGTGTGAGTACTCTAACTGAAAAGGAGGAAACAGGACTGACAGTCCCCCAGGGAAATGAGGAAAGTATATCTGAAGTACAGATAATCACTGGGAATAAAACTTGGCATTATCACAAGCAATTCAAGTCCATGGAAACTCATAACATTTCACCCATGGCCAAGATTGTCTATGAACTCTTGCTTGAAATCAGTCTACCATATAAAATACAGAGGCTTTCTCAGCAGCTTCTTCAGGGGAGGAGGGGAGGTAAGAAGAGGAGGAGGAAGGAGGGAAGAAAGGTGAAGGAGAGAGAAAAAAGGAGGAAGAAGGAAGGAGGGAAAGAAAAAGAGAAATAGGGATGGTGGAAGGAAAGAGTGACCATATGTGTTTATAACACATAAAGCTATAGTGCTTTCTTTCAAGTTTTCTTTTGTTAGGAGAAGGTGGGCCAGGCTTTGTTCTTAGACAAAAAATATTTGGGACAGGGGGACACTGAGTCTCTAACCCCTCTTCCCTTTGCATCTTTTCCTTGTCTACTGCCCTCTGGCAGAGATACAAACAGTTTACATATAATGAAGATACAATGAGGATGTCAAGTGAAATGGTAGAACTTACCTGTAAATAATCCCATTGTTTCAATAGTGACTCCAACTATAGATAGAGCTAGTGTTATTGCTGCTCAGACATGGTGCAGAAAAGTACCAAACTGGTAATGG